TCCGGATCAAGCCCGGCCCGGCCCGTTCCAAGTATGAAGCGAGGCCATATTTTGAAGGAAATGATAAAATCATTTATATGTAGTTTTAATTGCAGTCAATTTCAATTACAAATCTTAGTACTGGATGCCGATTTATGTCAAGGCGAACCCAGATAATAAATTATCTTGAAAAATTCAGGCAGCTGAATCTTTCAAAAAATCATCTCGCGGAGCTTGACGGACATCAACAGAGGCTGGATAATAATAGGTAGCAGAGGAGCTTGGCGATGGAAAAATACGAGACGCCCATCGATCCCACATATTAATTAGAGGGTAGACGAACATGTGGGAAATTTGAGGTAGGTATCAAAGAATGAGAGCGTTAGGGATTCGAGCAAGGGATGTCTTGATCTAAAATTTTGCAGAAATTCGAGTTCCAGTAGTCGTCGATTTGCTCAGAAAGCTATACAGTACCGGACAATAAGACATACAAAATCGTGTTTTTCAGTTGATTTCCGGCTCATTTTTACCATTTTCAGGAATCTTGAGCTCGGATGTCAAGTTTCGGATCACTTTGAAAATTTTGGAGGGCGTAAAACAGACCTAGATTGGCAATTTTGCATTCACAGATTTTTCGAAAATCTCTAGTTTTCAGCTTATTGTCAATTTCAGAAAACACTCCTTTTTTGCACACACGCGAAGTCTCTCCCAGCTTACCAAAAGAGCCAGACACGGAGACATGCAAAAAATGAAGCATGTTGCAGAGAAAAAGAGCACGAGCAGTCGTTGGTTGTTAGGGGGAAGGAGGCGTGGCTGACTAGAAGCAGGAGAAGAAGAAAAATAAGAAGAACAAGGAGAAGGACACGGAGAAGGTGCGAAGGATTAAAAAAAGGAGGAATTGAATATAGGAGTAACTAAACATTCGAAGAGTAACCGAGAAGTGGAATATACATACTGAAAAATGAGAGAAGGAGTCACTAGTGGCTCCTATCCATTTTTCATGTCAAAAACCGAAAAAATGAATTCCTCTCAATCCATGATTCTGACCTTAAAAGGACTATTTGGCACTACAAAAGAATCAGAAGAAATTTGTATCTCTTCTACGTCACAACTACCGCTGAGTCCAGAAGTCCAAAAAAGACTACAAAGAGTACTCGGACACTGAACCTTGACATATACGTACCTACAACATAAAAGAGCCAACCAAAAACCTGGGGTGTATAATAGACAAAATGAAGGATGATAAACAAAATGGAAACTTTCAAGGAAGTATGGAAAAGTGATTCCAGCCGTTTGATTCACATTGCTCACATTTCTGAGGATCAAAAATTGTTGTTCCATGTGATTTGAAGATTTGTTCAACAGGATGATAATTATACAGACATGATGACCTAGACTTTCATGATGATTCAGACAGGAGATTTGATAGAAAATAGTGAAAGTCACAACATACTAGACACATGGTTCAGGGTGCCCATACAGGGGTAATTGACCTGCCCGCACATAGAAAGGGAGAAAGAGCGGAGGGCCGCTGGACGACAAGAGGGCAACTAGCGGACGACTAGCGAACGGCTTATTTTCCACCCGTCCAACTAAAAACTCTATAACGTTATAGATTGATTCAATGAAAAAAACGTGCGCAACACCTTGTTATTCAACCAAAACCGTGCCATGTGGTACCGCTGATTAGGACTTTGGGGACTTCAGGGATTTCAGAAGGTCTGTTGACTGATGAAGTCTGCACACACACACAACAGCTCACAACGCATGGAAAGTTGAAAACAAAATCAAGAAAGAGCTGGAAACACGAAGAAGAGAGGGTCGCAGACGGCCGCGGTCGATGCATGGGTAGGTTGACGAAACCTGAACCCTCCAGCCGATATTCTAATTCACTGGTTCGTTGGGAAAATGTCTATGAATGTTTGGAGGGCGGGTCAACTTATATCAACGACGGTGTTTGCAAAAATACAAATTAAAAAATACCAGTCGATTCACGCCCCCTGTCGGGGGCTCAACCTCCTGGCTTCCTCTGTAGAAATAGATTGACGTCTTCAGAAGGAGTCAGAAACAAAATTTCGAAAAACGATAAAGTCGGGCATCATCTCGCTGCTATTTCGGGTTATCTGTGAAAATTTGGGAAATTTTGGTCCAATGGTGACTGCGCTAGGGCCTGCTACCCGGGAACACCGGACACACTCACACACAGAATTTGGTGATTGTTAATACTAAAGATATAATTGAGATATGGAAAAGCTCATAAGGAAAATCACACTCATGATTATGGCGTTCCGTTGAGCCTTAAATTTAACCTGGAACATTCAAAACAACAAACTAACCTGGACAGCCGAAAATGTCGGAGAAAAAAGGGAGAGGAGAGAAGTGGAGAAAAGAGTGATAGCTCTACTTAAGTAGCTATAATAGATCTATTCAAATAGGGGAAAAGGGAAAGGCGTGTACAAGGAAGGGGGTGAAGCCTTCAAAAAATGTGATACCGTTGATTGAGACTCCTGAGACATTGCACAACGTATACCGATGAAATTCGTCAATAGTATAGTCGGATTCAAAGTTATTTTAAGACACGCAAAATTTGAGGAAGCAGTGAAACAGAATACGCGAAGATTTGAAGGTGTGATGATTTTAGACAAATTCAGTATTCTGATACGAATAAGGAGATTCTATCACTATCGTTATATCTTTGGGCTCGTGGAAATCTACTAGAAGTGGCTGACAACACTCCTGACATCCCAATGGTCCTCGGTTAAACTATAGAAGAAGTTGAAAATAAAATGAAACAGCTAATTATGCGCGCGAAGAAAAGAGGAAGAGAGACTTCATCGGAAAACACATCCGATTCTTGAACCTTGACATATGAAGTAGCGCTCAAAGCTAATACAACTCCAATTATCATCATAACTTGAGTTTTAAGAGAAGTTGTAAACAACGTGAAGGTTACATGATGCGATAAAAGCCTCGGTATCTCATCATACAGCCCCTTCTCCTTCACGAAGATAGCCATTGACGTCGATGAGGAATCTTGAGACAGAGTGAAGAAATGAAGAAGAGGTTAAGTGGAGGTGATGTCAGGATGAAGATGTGAAATGAGCGCAAAATGGAAACTACTAAAAACTCATCATGACGTATGCCTCCTGATGAAGCCAATTAACTCTTATCCTCCGTCTAC